TTGTAACTAATCATGAGAAGTTGTCAAGACTTCTCATAAAGGAAAAGGAAGCAATTATCTATGCTTCCATGATTTCCATTTCTAGGCTTTCTAAATGGTTTCTTCAGAAACTACCAAAAAGGGTATTCTGTAAGTTAGTGTATTTCTAAGATAACAGAGTAAGAAGCTCAGAATTCAGAAATAAGAAGCAAACAAAACCAGTTCTGCTACTACAGTCTGCAAAATTATCTGCATAATTGCTTTCTTTTTTTTGCACTTTAAAAAGTTTAAGATTTGAAATTTGATCATTTTCCCAGTCACATTTCAAACTTCCACTCTTTGATCCAATGAAAAAGTTTCAGAAATAATTCCATTTTAAATGCTGTTACTGGGATATAACTGTAATAACGTTTGCTTGTCAAGTTTTTTGAATTACGAACAGGCAATCGTGAAATCTAGCAAATATTGAAGATGTTTCAAACTTTTTTGTAAGCAATGTCTGGAAGTTCAGGAGTGACATGACCATATTCCAGAGAAGAAGACAAGTTTTGACCCCGGAACTTTTTTCTTGAAGATCAATGTAAAACTTGCCATAAAATGTGAACTGCTGAGTAAACAATTCTTAAAATTTTCCTAAAACCATGCCTAGTTGAACAGTCCTATAGAAGACACAGGCTGAGATTTATTCCTTGACCTTTAATCCTTTTTTTTCAATTTGTGCATGGTCATCTTAACAGTACATGGGTCAATTTGCAATCTTCTGTTTTGCTGTCTTTCAAATCAACTTTGAGAGAAAACTTCTCTCTGAAAACAATTTCAAATATTTACATCATGAGCATAATGGAAAGCCTCAGTTTTCTGTATACTATGGCTTGAGTAATTTTTATTCCTTGTAACTACATAATCAAAAGTCTCATCAAAGGAAAACCTTGAGATAGAATTTACATGACCTTATTGTTATTTCATTAAAAAAAAGTTTTACAAGGGTTTTCATAAACCTTGCACAGCATTTGGAAGGCATTTTAGTTCCTGCATGTATATTTTTCCTGATTTCTGGACAGATCTAGAAAGAATCATGATGGTAATATTACACAGTATAAGAAAGCACCATAATTATTTCTGTGCCAAACTGACAACGGTTGGAACTGACAAAGGAATTGAGAAGAAAGGCGTAGTAATGAAGAAAACAAAACATGGGCAATCAGCTAGTTTTCAGCCAAGTACTTGAGTATACAGTATACACCCAGGTTTTTTTTTTTTTAAGAAGAATATCTTGTATAATTTGATGGCAAAAAGATTACAAAATTCACCAGAAACACTGAAATTACTGCACAAGTGAATAAAAAAATGTTTGCACCAATCCAGCATATCTGAACACAATTATACAATACAATACAGAAAAGAATGAAGAGAGAGAGTAGTGATGAGCATACTGTATAAAGAGAATAAGTGTGAAGAATGTTTTTTTATTTAAATAAAAGTTGATCAAGTTCAGACAGGAGGAAAAGCATTCACTGGGTTTCTTCAGTGCATTCTCTGCACATCATCAACTGCACAAATTCCTCTCTCAGACTTGCTATATGCACCAGACATTTCTTTCTATAAAATCTAGTCACTATTATAGTACAATTGACAGGCACTCTTGAAACTTGTCAAATCTCAACATTGGTACATGCTTAGTCTTACATTTGGCAAGCAATTGAGGGGTTTTTACTGGTACTATAGATTTTCATTTGGCTGTTTTATTAAGGCACTCATGGCCAGCTTTGCCACTTTATTTTTCATTACCTTTTAATGTAGCTGAGTATTGTGATAATATGTGTATATTGTGATAATTGTGATGATACAGTGGCCCCCCGCCTAAGAGACCTCCCGTGTAAGGGATTTTTGCCAAACAGACCAGCTTTTTCAATTTTCATGTAATTGCATTTGTGTAAAGGACTTTTTGTCTAACATACTTGTCCCTTGCACAAATCAAGTCCATTAGACGGGGGTTGACTGTATTGTGTATATTGTGATAATTAAAGTGCAATCTTGAGGAAAAAACAGAATCCAAGCGAATTGTCTCAAGATTGGAAATAAAGATTAATTACCTTCAGGAGAAAAGTATAAAAATCAAATTCAATCCAATGAAAAATTCTGATTTAAAAAAAAATTCCGAATACCTGCTTCCGTCCAAAATGATCATTTTTCAAAATTTCCTGGTTACATTTCTGAATATTTGGGAATGATATTGCGCCATGTCGATAATCCCTTCCCCCTTTGTGCATTGCCATCGTCACAGTACTACAGTTATGGTCGAATCACTGTGACGACATCTTCAATGGTTACGTGGAAAGACAAACAACGAAACTCAATATTTATGGCTGTTTTTTTTGTTAACTTGAGGTTTGAAAATCAGGATCTTCACATTTATTGTGTGATCTGCGTCAGACAGAGGTTAAGGTCGTGTATAATATGATGACTGTTTTTTTTGTGATGAGTAACCATGAATCAGCGCTAATCGAGGCAATCTGTGGGGTTCCATAAAAAAGGGAACCAGACGGATTCCCTGAAATTCTCCAAAAACATGGCTTTATTTTTGACAGGAGCTCTATTGTGTGTCTTGTGCATCCAGTTGTTGGTGTTTTTGTGGCAGAGATGCAGAAAACCTAAGAATTACCCTCCAGGTGAATTTTTTTTTTAGAATTAACCAAGTGTTTCAACCCCAACCTTTCCAATAAATAAATGAGATTATTGGTGTTTTAAGTGCAATGATCCCCAACCCATGGTCCAAGGACTGATGCTGGTCAACAGATATTTTTTTGTGGGTCCATGGGAAAATTTATGTTGCATAATAAATTCATCAGAAATAGCAATGAAGTCTCTTATCTGTATCTGAAATTTTGGAAAGATAATGACAGGTGAAATGATCTGATGAAAAGATTAAAGTTGGCATTTCTGCTAATAAAGCCTCAGAGAAACTTTCATCTGCTGAAATGATTTGTTTAAATATGTCATCCTGAGAAGCCTTTTGTTTATGCCCACCTTTCTAATTTGTGAAGATATTCCACAAAAGCTGCTCCATTGGATCTTAACTTAATTTTTGCAAAAAGACAACACTTTTTTAATACCTGTTGTAAAGTTGTTCAAACAAACTTTTTTAGTCTGCAAAAATTGCATGAAACTTTGCCAGTCCTCAGAATTTTTTTTTTTGAAATTTGCTGGACCACAAAAAATGTCATGGAAATTTGCTGGTCCACCCAAAAAGATTGGGAAACACTGGTTTAGAGTAAAGGTGGTGCCTTGCAGTTTAACCTCATGCAATTCAACTGCCTCACAATTTGACAGTCAACTTTTCCTGAAGGTCAACTCACAATTTGACCTCCTCACCAAAATTGTACCTGTTTAGCCTCTTTTCTAGTGTTTTTCTGCTGTTTGCCCTTCATTTTACACAGTGTCTTGGAATTTTACTGTTTTGCAATTTGACCCCTGTCAGCAACAGATTAGGGTCAGATTGCAGCACAACCTGTATTGGCAACACGCTAGTCTAGTGCAGTTCTGTATACAGTACAGTGAGTTCTCAAGGAATGAAACCCAAAAAAGTTCTAATCAATGGAAGGATTTGGATTAGGAACTTTTTAAAGATTTAGCATGGAAATTTAGATTTAACAAGCCTCAAACATTTAGAAATGCAGAGCAATTTGAGAGTCCTAAAATTGTTAGAAATACCCTAATTTCATACTACTGTATGCATAATTTTTTCATGGTAATGCGCCCTTTTTCTGAAATTCTCAGGAATAAATATACAGTTGATCCCTGCACTGCAGTTTTTTGCAACACAGACTGCCCCTGGAGGCAGTTTTCCCTCCAATGCAATGGACTAAATCAGCACAACAGAATTCTGTTGGTTTGAAATTAATGGTAAAAGTATAAAATGTAATTTTTTAATAAAACAAAATTTGCATAGCAGACTCTTTACACAACATACTAGTCTGTTGCGCAAATCAAGTCTATTATGCAGAGGTTGACTGTACTGTACTTCATTGTGTACTATCCACATATTCAAAAGTTTTTCACAAAATATGCTCTATTGTGTGTCCAGAGCACAATGAAAACACGTTGAATCGATTTTAACATAAAAAAAACTTCAATATGAAAACGGATATGCTGAATTCACATGCTCAAAATATATGGAAAAATATGTGGATCAAACATAATGTATTCAGTACCTTTAATATTGCTTCTCATTTTACTTTTTCATCCGTGGTCTAATTAAATTATCATCCCTGTACAGATACATGAAAAAAATCAAGATTTCAAAATCTCGAAATTTTTCACAGTTCAAATGAGCAGAAAACTTGGAAATTATTTGCCTCAATGTTACACTCAAATTTGGACGTTTGAATTATGGTTAAAAATTTTCAGGTTATTTTTTATATTGGGATTAAATTGAAAACTTTGACTTATATTTGTGGGCATTGCACGTTACTTTCTTGTGTAATTCATTTGACCTTTTTTTTCAAGTCAGACTCAGTGAAATATTTGCTGGGTTTTATGAGAGTTTTTTCTCCGTGGTCACAATCTGCAAATTTCAAAAAGAATTATTTCAAGACATGTTTTCCTTAATGCGGCCAAACCTTACTAAAATTACTTTGGGTTCAATGCAAGGGGGTATCAGTCAAATTTGTTTTTAATTTACTAAACAAAAATTCGATTTTTTTTCCAGGGCCAATGAGATTGCCAATCATTGGCACTCTTTGGAGAATGTCAACTAAGATATCATTGGGTCGTCAGTATATGGATTTAGCTGAAAAATATGGGCCAATTTACAGGTGAATTCTAATCTTTGGTTATACTGCAAATGGATCCACAATTTTTGTAATATTATCATATTTTATTTTAGTTTGAAACATGGAGAATTTGAAGTGGTTGTGTTGTCAGACCCTGATGACATCAAGAAAGTGCTCAGTTCTGAAGATTCTACTGGAAGAATGCGGACATTCTTTTTCACTGAAGTATACTACGGGTTGAATTATGGTAAGCAAAAATTGTTTCGACCAAGTTTTATTTTATCTGTTTCTATAAGAATATCAAATCAAAATCCATATAGGAAAGATTTTTTAGTTTTCAACTGAAAAATTTTTTAGACTCTGTTTTGAATAATTTTTAAACATTATATTATATTTTAAATGGTTTGCTGAGGTTTCAATCTTGAAAAATGCTGACAGAAAATTATGAAAATGTATATTTCTCCCATAGGGTTGTTGTTCTCAGACGGAGACCAGTGGAAAGAGCAAAGAAAGTTTTGTTCCAAAGCACTGAAGGATTTTGCGTTTGGAAAATCCCTGATGGAGGACTCAATCATTGAAGAGTTTCAATATCTCTCAAATACTTTGAAACCAGATGACATTCCAGAGAAATCATCTTTTGTAACACGTGATTTAGAAGAAAATCTTGGACAAGCTGTGGTCAACTCTTTGTGGCTTGTTGTGGCTGGTAAGTGGGAAATTGAGTCTAAAATCCTCTAGTACTTTCTGTTGAGTTTAGACATGTCAAACTTGCTTCAGACAACCTCAGAAATGTCTAATATTTGCATGATGTTGATTCAAAGGTTTTGTTGGTCTTGTTATTTTATCTCTGGAGTCTAGAGTCTTGTTTGGTGGATGGAGGCTGGAGCAGAGCAATATTTTAAAAAGAAATGGAGTAGTTGGTACTCTTTGAACCATTTGATGAATTCCTTTGATCACAATGAGTTCCACTGAGAGATGAATGAAATTTACAACTGGCTTTCATTTTCCATACTTTCAAGTTTTCACGACATTGCAGTCATTCACAGTAATGATAAACATCATGTGACAACGTGCCAGATTTTTCTACATAATTCCAATTCAAAACAGTTTGGATTCTGAGAATGTACTTGCTGATTAGCATGTATACAAAATTTTCATTAAACTCAACTGCCCAGCAAATAATGGGGACATTGGGCTGTGAAACGTTGAGGAAACGGCCTGCCAATGGGTTCTGCAATGCATTCTATCAATTGTTGGGATTTTGAGCCAATCCTCCCCTGCTGGCATTTTGAGCTAAGCGTTGCAGGACATGTTGGCAGTCCATTGAGAACACTGTTGGAGATGAAGGCCATTCTGAAATGCATTGTAGGATGCATTTGAGAACGGTACACCCAATGTTTTTTGGGCATTAAAATGCACCCCATTCAGAGCACCATTGAACAATACAGTGCCAACGCATTTAGCAATGTACACATATATGAACATCAAAATATAATTTGAGACAATAGAAATTTTGCCAATTTAAACTGAAATGTCCTTGAAATTCTGGTCTTACTTGAGTCAATGAGCCTGGAATGTTCACTTGAACATTGCTGATGCATTGTTGAGTAAAAGTGCTAATTTTGCTGAAAAAATGAAGTAAAATATAAAATGATCTTCAAACTTTGAAGATCTGTACAAAATTCCCTAATTAAGATAAAAAGGGAGTTCAAAAAAGAAAATTCTCCTTAAAACAAGGCTTTTCTTGCTATATCATCATATCATACAATATTTAAGTAAAAATCATTCCATGTCATTTTTGTGCAATGTAGAATGATGTTCAACTTGAACATTGTTTTACATTGTTCTATGTTGCACTACATTGCATGCATATGATGTACTGCAATGTAGAACAATGTAGAACTGTTGTACATCATTGAATAGGATAATCCAATCTTTTTTTTCCTTTTCCCTATTTTTCTTTATCTAGGGAAGAAGCTTGACCGGTTTACCCATGAGTATCAGAGAGCCATGGACTCCTTACCCATGGAAATGAACTACACCCTTTTCCTTTCCCTATTTCCTTCCATTCAATCTCGGCTGCCAAAAANATTTCAAATCTGAATTTATTTTCAGAGATTTTTAAAACCAAATAATGTACCAACCGCAGAACTTTATTTATTTCTTATAGGGAACACCCAATGATCAGTAATTTTAAATGTAAAACACAGTTTTATGAAAATTGCTTTTAATTTATTTTATCCAACTGAAATAATGCTGCATTCACTGAATTGAGTTAAAAACAAAATACTACCAAGATGTTTTTTTAATTGGAATTTATTTCATTTGGTAGAACATAAGGCCACGTATATGAATTATGGGTAATCCAGAAAGTTTGAACTTGATTTCAAATCCTGCAGTAAAGTCACAAATGTATTGTTAGGGAGAAACTTACCTTAACATAAATATGTTTGAGTTTTTGCTTGTGGATCAATAAATTGACTGAATAAAGTAAAGTGCAAAATTATTTGGAAATGAAAGTCAGAATCAGCCTGGGACTAGGCTGGGGAACCTTATTTTGGTTTCCCTGATTTAAATTAGAAGTATATTTCAAGATATTTGTCTCACAAAGATAACACACAAATAGTAAGCTTTTCAACTATACAACACACAACAGAACTCCACTGATATTCGTAGATTTTGCAATTTTGGCAAATATGCACAGTTATTCAGAGGTTCGATTCGAAGTGGCTTTGGTAATTTCGTTCTCCAGTGAAATCCGGGGGAAACGGAAATCGGTTTCTGGTTTTCTTTTGTTGAATTGCTGTTGCCCTTGGCGAGTTCCTTATTCTCTTTGAGGGTTGGAACTCTTATCAGATTTTTGCGGTTTTTTATAATTCATTTTAATTTAATTTTAGCATTGTTCCGTGTGCGGCGGTTTCCCAACATGTATAGCGTGTTTCAAGTGCTAAAATGCGCAAGTCAAAATTCAAGTTGAAGTTTAATTCGAGCGTCCAAAAATTGAGGGTTACCATGGTGTAAATATATTATTGGAGAGGAAAATTCAACTTGCTAACGTTATGTCAAGTCAACTGTACTTTTTCTCTTCTTCGGCTTCCTTCCGTAGTACATAAGGTCTCGAGAAACTTATCTTCGCTCTTGAAAAAAATAAAAATAAATAATATTTTTAGGATAATTTCAAACAAAATTGTTTTTTCCATCAAAGGCAAACTATTCGGCGTTTCTTTCGTGAAAATGATCAAGTACATAATCTGAAGATAACGTGTATTCATTGAATTTTGTTTTTTAGAATGCACTATACTCAGGCGGCAATTCATGAAGCTTGGAGACTGCCAGGAGTGACATCTAATGCAATTGATCATCGACTCATCGCTGACATGGAGATTGGCGGCTACCATGTGCCGAAAGTGAGCTGATTAGATTCATATACTGTATATGGTGCATTACTGAGGAAATATTATCAAAAATTACGGAAATCTGGCTCTTTTGGAGGATGAAATTAAGAGATTTTAAAATGCAGTAATTGTATTTATGATTATTCAGGAAACCATCATCGTTCCACTGATTCGTTCAGTCCACTCAAACCCGAAATATTGGGACAGTCCTTTGGAATTCAAACCCGAGAGATTCTTGGACAAGAACGGAGAATTTCGGATACCAAACAAAGACGCTTACATGCCATTTTCGACAGGTTGGCAAAAAAAAAAAAAGATTCTCAATTTCGATTTTGTCCTACGTTTTTCAGCGATTGAACCAAATTTTGTTTTGTTTTCAGGTAAAAGGCAATGTTTGGGCGAAAACATGGCGAGAATGACGACGTTTTTGGGAGTCTGCATCTTGTTGCAAAAGTACAAATTTGACAAGATTCCTGGTCATGTATACAATTTCGATGAATCGCCGAAATCATTGATAGTCAATAGCATCGAAGCCTTTGAAGTTGTCGCTGTTCCCAGGTAATCATGCTTTTTCCGTGTGCGAAATTTCTTTATCATGAAGCTTTTTTGATTGATTGAAAGTGCTTCTCGACGTAATTTTTTTTTTCATTCTGTGTTAATAAATTTTTCTTTTTTCATTTATTCGTTGGTATTTCGTTTTGATGAGTCAGTGCGACGAAATATCGTTTTTTCCGGCGAGGAAGAATTTTTGGAATTCTTTGACCAATTTTTGGAACTCGACACTGTGTCAACTTTTCGCGAATGAAAATCCCTGCTAGCTATTTCTTTGATTTTTTGACAAACTGTAATGTGCAAAATTGGATCATGGGATTTTCAAAACACTGAAATATGCAGGGAAATATGGACACTCATATACTGTACGTATCAGTCAACAAGAAGTATTCAGAAAATCCCCAATTAGAAATAATTACAGCATAATTATATGCCTTTGTCGTGAATTGATCAAATACATAATTTAGGGTTAGAGTCTCCTAAAGAAACTTACTGTTGAGAGATTGATCTTAAATAAGTGATTTTTTTT